AACTCTCAACACAATCTTTTACAAATAGCTAAATTAGTGTAAATTATAATTAGCTCACCTTTAACTGTCAGGTTTGTTCCTGTCAGAAAAGTCAAGTTTCGTTGATTTGTTCTCATACAATAATAAAATCCTGTATCCCTCAGCTCTGCTTTTCTCATACGCAGAATAAATTCTCCTCCCTTATCTCGTTGTTCCATAGTTGTAATGCGTGAATTCTTCACATCCAAGCCATTTGCTTTTCCTAAGTATTCAGGAAAGTTTCCAGAACCGAGGCGGATCCAGAAATAGCTTCCTGTAGAGTCAAGCTTACACTTCATTTCAACCTCGTCTCCGACTGCAGCAGTCTTTTCATCAAAGGACGGATGATTCATGCATCCTGAAAAGACATTCTGTCACATAAATATAAGAGATGACAGACTTGTGCATGCTCTCTTCTTCAACGTTAAACTTTAGTTCTTTACATGTGTAGGAATATTTGAGAGTACACTTACGTCCCGCTCTGAGCATCATCAGCACATTAAGCACAAACAGCATTTTCTGGTGAATCCACTCGGCTGATGTTTTGACTGCGAGGTAAAATGATTCACTGTAATTAAATCATTGCATGTGGGAGGGATCAGTGTCAGAGCAACGTGATTGGCTTGTGATTATGCTACTGTGTGCCACAACAGTGGAAATGTTGAGTCTTTCCAACCTAAACACATGAAACCAAACCAGCGAGAGCTTTGGTTTCATGGAGGGTTTCAGACGCTGAAAACACGAGAGATGAATAAATGTGATGTTAAGGTTGCCTACAGAGCATCTTTGACTTTGCACTGTTGACCAAGCTGATGTTTTTATGGTGAAGCTCTCTGGGACACAAACATAAACCCTTAATGAGATGTTATTTCACCTTGTTTGGATCATATATCAAGAGAATTTACTTTCACATTAAGGGTGAGGAAAAAGACAACATGGAACAAAACATCACATTTATATGTTGAACGCTTTTTTTTTCATTAATTGCATGTTGATACATCAGGTTAAGGTCTGCTAACCTCAACTCTGTGGTTTAGCGCAGGAAGTGATGGAAAGATAAAAAACATTGATTAAAGTTTCACTTCGACTTCATACAACAGCTTCATATGGATGCAGAGGACGAGAAAGTGAACCTCTGTTTCTATTTGTTCAAATTTACAGTTTTTAAACATTCTCTCTCATCTAGGTTTTCCAACTCTTATGACGGCCTGTTTGAATTTCTAGTCTATGATCACTGAGACTGTACCTTGTTCACGTGTCTCTGTTTGGGATTTTTAACACTTTTAACATTCTAACTTAACAATGGATTTGATTTCCTTGTCAATAGTTTAATTTGTGTGACGGACATCCTCATCTGTGAGTGTTGGGGCTCGCATGTTTTTAAATAGTTCATGTTTTTTTATGCTCCACAACAGAGCTCCTCCTCCTCTCCTGTGCTTCCAGGAGGTCACCATCCTTTTTTCATGTTTACCATTATTGTATGCATAGAAGTGTTTGCATCTTGTGTGTTGTTTCTGTGTGATTTGACTATATAACAATTGATTGATTGATTGACTATTTTACAGATCATATTACTGCCTGTCGCTATCTGTAAATCTTTGTTACCAACCACATATTTCCTGGGAGCTCCTGAGCTCAGAGGTCTTGTAGGTTCCTTGGGTTTGTTGGTGAGGACGGCCTGCTGCTGTGGTTAAAATTGGTAAGCTTGAATCCGCATATTATGCTTTGCTGCTTTGACTGCAGATCATCAAGACTGGATGGACAGACTAAGTCAGTGGTTCTCAAAATGTTTGTCTCATGCCCTCATTGGAGGAAGAAAATTACAACATTTTAAATGAGAATAATAATAAGAAGAAGATATCCTAAGGTGGCTCAGTGGCTTGTTCAGTGGTACTTCAGCAGTGCTACGGAAGTGAATGACCTGGCACCTCATCAGCTACCAGACCGAGGGACTGAATTCAGGAGAATCTGAGAGTTACCTGATGATACATTGATAATAGACATGAACATGAGACCTTGTGAGGCAACATAATGCAGTCTGGTTCATCACTATAAAAACCTCCTTACAGAAAGGAAATAAGCGAGCTGTCCAAAGGGTTCTTAAATGTGCAGTAATTAAAACCAAGACCAATGCATCATGGTTTGTGGTGTTACCAGGCTCATCATGTCTAGTATTCTCACTTATTTCCTTTGTGTGCAGAGCTGTGCATGCAAACACTTAGACAGAAACAGACATTTAAAGTCAGCGCTGAAAAAAACAAATGACACATGGAAACTTAAGCACTGCTGTGGTCAGGCATCAAACAGAGGTGTTAACACAGAGGGGCTTTACTTGTTCTCTCACTCTCAGTTTGAGGCCTGTCAACATCGACCTGCTCTAAAGTGTTAGTGTTTTAAAAGGGCAAGAGGGATGACATCACACGTTTTTGTTTTATGAATCTTTAAAATAGAAACTTACTTTAGAAAAAAGACTGATGGAGGGGTGGGGGTGCCTATTGTTGAGATGTTAGACTGTGGTCTTGAATCATGTTTACTCTTAAACTGGGAGCAGTGTTTAAGCAGCAGCCTGCACACATTATCAGTGACTGAATCCTCACATACCTTTACATGTATTAAGATGTCTTTAATTGCATCTTTTAAACACAATAAAAACAACATTTTTAAAAGTATGGAGGAGCTGTGCTGCACAATGCATACGTAAGAACCAATGTAATTATAAGGAATACGGCATAATACAGAAAGAAAACTGCACTGCTAATGAGCAAATGACCAAACACACCCTGAAATGATCCTGCTGAAGGCTAGTATTTCTCTCCCCTCTGTTCACATCCTGTTGAAGTTCATAGTTAGGCCTGTTCTGAGAAGACAACCTCAAAGGGCGGTCAAATGGCAGAGAAGCAGCCCAACAAACCCACCACAGCATATGCAGCGTTGCTTGTTGTTTTCACAGCAGATGTGCAGATTAACTTTTCACAATGCTTTTAGACCAGCAGACAAAATGCTTAAATATTTGAGGAGGTATCCTGTAGCTGTTTCAATCAATAAATAAATCTTTTGTTGTATAGCGTGAATTCATAACAAGTTTTTATCTCGAGACACTTTACAAAAAGCAGGTAAAAGCCCTTACTCTTTGCTATATTACAAAGACCCAGTGTTAATCCATCATGAGCATAGCACTTAGCAACATTTAGCAAAGTTACAGTGGCAAGAAAAAACGTTGTTTTCCTCATGATGAACAGCCATCTACTGAAACTTGAGGCAGGCTGTCCACCAACGATCCAGAGGACACTGGAACATGAGAGCTCAGGAAAATATGTGCTTAGTAACTAAGATTAACAGATAGCGACATTCAGTAATGTGATCTGAATGCACAGAGAGAGAGAGAGAGAGAGATAAGAGCTCAAGATGCCAGTTCCCCAGGTAGTCTAAGCCTATAGCAGCATAACTACGAGCTCATCTATACCTGCGCCAGCCCTTACTATAAGATTTATCAAAACAGAATGTTTTAAGTCTAGTCTTAATGTATATGTATGTAGTGCCTGTTTCTGTCATTATTGTGGCATAGTGCATATCCATAGGATCCTGTATGTGCATGTGTGTGTATATTTCAACCTATGTGTGTGTTCATGACTTACAGAGTGTAAAAACTGAAATTTCCCCTTGCGGGGATCAATAAAAGTAAATCTTAAATCTTAATCTTAATCTTGTTGAACAAGCTGGTGAGGAAGGCCTGCTCTGTAGTGGGTCTTGATCTGGACAGTTTGGAGACAGTGGGTGAGAGGAGGATGAAGGACACCCTCTCACCCTCTACATGGTGAGCTGTGGCAGATGGGCAGCTCCTTCAGCCAACGCCTCATCCCCCCCAGGTGCAAAACAGAGCGCTTCAGGCGCTCCTTTGTGCCCACTGCCATCAGACTGTACAACAGCAGCCTATGACAACAATAACAGTCCATCCTGACACTAAACTTCACCCCCATAAAACATTACCCACATGACCTGCTTCATTATTATTATCATTACTAACATTGTATTATTATTATTATTATTATTATTATTATTATTATTATTATTATTATTATTATTATTATTTAGCATCAATGTATATAGACATAAATACTGTACATTCTATATATTTTATTATATTATTATATTATTATATTATATAACCTTTCATTATATTACACTATATTGTTCATATTGCACTATATTATATTATATTATACTACATTATATTATATAACTGCACTCTGCATTACTGTGGTACAACACTGCCTCTCTTCTCTGCTGTTTACATTACTTGCTGCTAGTTATCATACCAAGTCACTTTAATCATCACGTTTCACTTTATCTTTTCATTCTCTACAAATACTGTCTCAACTCCCTGCATAGTTAACTTCATCATTCATTTTGCATATACCCCCTGTTTTTATTTTTATTTATCTAATCTGTTTAATGTGTATTTTGAGCTTTCTTGTCTGTGCTGCTGCAACGCCCGAATTTCCCCTCTGGGGATCAATAAAGTATTATCTTATCCTATCCTGTTTTAAAACCCTTCAATAAAAATACATAAAAGAAGTTTTCCTGTAACTGCATCAGAGACCACTCCACTACCAAACAGGTAAGCTGCTCCACTTTCCCTCTTTTTCCTGTAGTTTGTCCCCACTACAGTGCACTTTGTATGACCAAACATTACCCAACACAGAGTGAGCATGCCAGCTTCCAGCTTTAGTTTAGTGCACGACTGCATATATTGTTTATGGTGCTAATACTCTACCTTTGGTGATAAAACCAATCTAACAATGACTGAACACAGATGAGTCAAAACATGTCAAATCATACACAGTTCAAAAATTACAAAGGATATTCTCTTCTTATTGTCACATTGCTGCAAGGTTTTACATTTCTCACAGTCTTTAAAAATATACAAATCAATTATTTAATGTTTTAAGCATATCTTTTATTTAGCCAGTCGGAGAGTTCTGACCCCGGTGTAGATCGTCTCTTCTGTTGCTGCTTTGACTTTTCTCTTCTCTCTTTTGTCCGTTCTAATCTTAGAAAAAGTCGGTGCAGAATAAACCAACGAGTCCTCAGCGCTCTGAGAAAATAACAAAAAATAGTTTGAAGTCAGTATGCTGTTGATAAAGCTGTGCAGAGTATGTATCATGAATTTAGTTTCAACAGCAACATGAGGGTGAAACTTTTGCCCTTTTAGAAATCAGCTACCTGAGAAAAAATAGTCTGAGCAGATATTTCTATAAACTTAAAAAGTAAAACAATATTCCAACAAATGATTCTCGTTGAATCTTTTCTGAAGTATCTCACCTGCTGGCGTCGTCGATCTGCTGCAGGATGTGTTTGCAGAACTTCAGCAGCTGTGATATCAATTAAAAACAAAGATGTAAGTGTTTAATTTACACAAAGATATAGAGTTAATGTTTGCTCAATACTTTATTTTATTTATTGGAGATAATGTTCTGTTACCTTTGCTGGAATCACACGATTTAGTCTTGATGATATGAATCAGGAAAGCTATAATAATCAAGCTTATAGCCAAAGCAGCTGATAACAGAAACAGAGCTATTACGGCCGTCTGATTGTCGGCTCCTGAAAACATATAAAAACTTATTGTGTTAAGATGTTTCACTAAAATCTTCCTGGTAGATTCAACTGTTTGAAATGAATGTTAAAAAATGATTCATATTGAATGCTCTGCAGTTACCTTTGAAGTCAATCTTTGTCCCATTTCCAAACAATATCTCTCCACATGCGGCCACAGCACAGAAATAAGTCGAGGCGTCGGAGGAGTTGACGGTCTTTGAGAAGCTGTAGACACATTTCTGTGGAGAGTGAGCCTCTGGACTCTCCTCACATCCTCCAGGTCTGTTTCCATGAGTGTAAATGACACTGGGATGATTTTCATCTGATCCGGCTCTGAACCAGAACACTCTGTGTTTCCCTGGACATGTGTTGTTTTCAGACTCAGAGAGAACAGAACACTGCAGAGTCATCAGGTCTCCTGGGTGGACTGGATCCTGTGAAATGTCTTGAACGACTGAGGTGATACTGGGCTCTGGTCCTGAATAAATTCAACACAAAGTAAATATGCTGGATTTGTTAAAAATATTCAAAGTAGCTGCAGTTTAGAATTAAGAGAAAAACATCCTAGAAAGTATGCTGTATGTTTTTTCCTTATTCAGGGGACATTTGGTTGACTGCTCTCATAAATGGTGTTAGGTATTATTTTAAAGAAGTTGAAGTGCATTTTATTTACCTTTAATCTGCAGAAATGTTCCTTTTAAAACTGTCATTTTAATACTCTCTCGTTTCACACAAATGTAAAGTCCAGTGTCCCCGAGTTTTAATCCATTAATAATCACCACAAATGTTCCAGGCTCTTTTTTTGCTGTGAATCCAGGAGTTTCATCAACAAGGTCAGAATCAATGGCATTGGTTCCTCCCAAAACCTCAGGCAAATCACCAGAAACGAGCCGGAGCCAGAATAATTGTGTTGAAGATAAAGAAGTGTCACGAGGACACGTCAGAGTCACATCATCTCCAACACCAACAGTCTTTGTCTCAAAGTTCTCATAGACGGTGCATCCTGAAGAAAATAAATATATGTCAGTGTTTAACAACAGAGAAAGATCATGTATGCTCTGTGCTAAAAATAAAACATATTAACCTTAAAAGATCAGAATTAGACGAGAAGATTGGACATAAACTTACGAGCAAGTGTGAGCGTCAGTAGAAAAACAAGAACAGACTTCATTTTCTCCTTCGTCCACTTAATACAGCAGTAGAATGAACTCGTATGAGAAGCTGCTTCTCCTTCATAGAACCATATAAAGTAGGAGGGAACAATCACAGGGCAATCTGATTGGCCCTTCATTATGAGGGTATTACTTTACAACCACAGTGGAATTTTTTTTGACCGTCTTTCAAGCTAAAGCACATGAAACAATAGAAGCAGCAAGCTTCTGTTTCAAGTTTTCATGGTGGGTTTCTGTACCTGCTGCTGAGCAGAAACACAATAACTACAGTTTTCTTCAGTATTTTTTCAAACTCAACCAGTGGGTCGTGAAAGCATCAACTTTCCCATTTTGGCAAATACGATGATGGATCTTTCGAACCAGAAGTGACCATATTTGGATCTGGATGTGGATACACATTAGTCCCTTACATGCAGCAGTACCCCCCTCTCTGTGTGTGGTTTAACATCCTTTTTGGAGTGTTCTGTGAGTGTGTGGAGTCACATGTCTAGCGAGTGGTCCCTCCCCTAAGGTATATAAGTGGCTGAGACTGAGTGATCTGTTTCGTCTTTTTCTTAGCGCTTGAGTGTGCACTGATGAGTCAAACAATCCCCACTGCTGGTGACCAGTCTACTGGGAGCTGCCGGATATTATCTGGTCTGCTGGGGCCCGCAGAGGTCTTGCAGTGCCATTGGCGTGGGAGTCCGCCCCCTGGATGAGATGGCCTGCGAGTTTCGCAGTCAGGGAGGATCCCGTTGTTCCCTGCCCTCATTCCACACCAGGGCGGAGAAGCAGCAGACCCCAAATCTTTGAGGACTCCAGTCCACTTGTGCCTCAACTTCAAAGGTTCACAGACCAGGGTGTTTTTAGGCCTTTTTAGGAGTGAGAGTCACCACCATGGTGGCGGGGCAACGTTCTGCTCCCCCCTCATCCAGGGACCTGCTGACAGCCTGACAGTATTACGACGTCATGTACAAGAGGTATTCGTGCTTAGGCACGGTTAGTCTTGTGTAGTGTGACCGCGGGCCTCACCAGACAGCAGGGGAATGGCGCTGTGGGGGGGCAATCGTGCTTGGGTACAGCACGGTACGGATGGCGAGTGTGACCGCGCCCTTAGAGACCGTAGGTACCACGAGCAGGCCTGATAACTGAAGGCTCTACCTCCCATAGTACATTTAGAGACTGTAGGTACCACGAGCAGGCCTGATAACTGAAGGCTCTACCTCCATAGTACATTTAGAGACCGTAGGTACCACGAGCAGGCCTGATAACTGAAGGCTCTACCTCCCATAGTACATTTAGAGACTGTAGGTACCACGAGCAGGCCTGATAACTGAAGGCTCTACCTCCCATAGTACATTTAGAGACCGTACTTAGACCTGCATTCTGGGAGCGTAATGTTCCTGAAGGGTAATACAGCATTATCAGCTCTTTAAGATAAGATTTTCCTGATCAGAGCTTTGTAAGAGAGGAAAGGATTTTAAATTATATTCTAGATTTTATTGGGAGCCAGTGCAAAGAAGCCAATAAAAGAGAAATGTGATCCCTTTTCCTAGTTCTTGTCACTACAGCTGCAGCATTTTGTACTATTTGAAGAGTCTTCAGAGACTTACCAAGGTAGCTGTCTAGTGTGCAGCCAGCCTTATTTTATGAAGCCATAAACTCCACTACATATCTCTTGTTGAGGCCAAACAGAGCAGGTACAAACCAGTGAGAGATTAGCACCTCCCCTCTGGCTGGTGAAAAACACAATAAAACACTTCACATTGCTGCCTTTTCCTAAACCTAGTTGGTGTTGTGATACTATTTCTAATAAAAACAGTATTATAGCTCTCTCACTTTAAAGAAGGTAATAGAAAAGTTAAGTTGAACTTCCTGAGATTCAAACAGAGTGCAGCAACAGAAAAAAGCCTCTTTGTATTCACACCTCGATGTGAAGCCAAACCACAACGGCATTCGAGTTTCCATGCATGACTTGGTCTTCAGCTGTGACTGTGAATGTGTGTTCATCTGTTTGTTTGTGTGTGTGGGCAAAAAGTTGACCACAGGCAGAACACCTAAAAGTTTTAATGCACAGTGAACTAACCACTAGCATGCAAGAAATATCTCCTAAACTGTTTCTGCTTCATGCTTTGTCTCTCTCTCACTTAAAGTCAGTAACTTTATATGCACAGTTACGTCCAGCTACAGTTACAGCTCAAAAAGGCAATTTTTTTTCAACCTTTATTTACACTCGAGACATCATTGAGGGGCGGACTAGACTTTAGGGGTGGAGCATGCTTGAGCAAAGTACAGATTGCCTAGTGTGAGTGCGCCCTCAAACCTGACTGATATGGGCTCATGATTTTGGTTCTGGAAAGAAAATCTTTAAACTAGTCATTTATTAAGAATTCTATATTGTTTGGCCTGTAATTATTGAGATTACCCTTGTCACCTCCCTTATGTAGGAGCAGGTGAGGGGTTTGTGGAGCATGCTCAAAACGCCTAGTCTAGTTTGGGTCTGACTGAGGTAGGACGTAGGTCAAGCAGCAGTAAAATCAACTGCTGCTTGCCGGTTTCAGTCCTCATGGTTTCCTGTACACAAAAAAACAGGGAATGTGGCAGAACCCTAAACTTGCAATAAAATCACTCTGCCAACTAGCCTTTAAGAGGAGTATTGCAGCACTAAGGAGCAAGCATGTTTCAACATTTAAAGGTAGAATATGCAATATTTTACACAGAAATATAGCAGAAATCCAGTATATCCTCTGAAAATAACTCTGAGTCATGACTGTCATGAGAGTCCCGTGGTATCTACACACTGTTTACATGGACGAGCTCCGGCTCATCCCTTGCGTATAAAAGTTGTTTGTTGAGGGACTAGAGAAAAGAAGAATAACATACTTTACTCACTGCTTATTTGAGTGTCACGTAAGTGTTTTTAGATCACGGTCATTTGGTGTAAATTCACATGCAATGTGAAGCTACCAGCAAACTAAAGAGCGCTGCAACGGGAGACGTGGAGCAGCAGTAAAAATGGCGCACTAAAAAAGCAGACATATATTGTTAATTGACATGCGACATTTAAAAGGTTACCAATCCTGCCTTATGCTGTGATAGCCTATTTGGGTTGTACATAAAAGTAAGTTGTATTTAACTTCATCAAAAAAATTCAATATTTGTGTGTTTCTGAGCACAAACAATTACATTTGCACATGCTGTCTGACAGACGGCTGAGGTGCTTGGAGGGGGGTCTAGAATGTTGGTGGTCCTAGTGTTAATGGATCAAGCAAATGTGTAAAACTTAAAGTTTGTATTTACTTAAAATGCTGCAGTGATGATGTCCTATTTGTGTTTTTGTGCAGAATCTTCAAGGCTGCGATTGTAAAGGTGCTCTACAGATTTCTGACAGGTTGTTCTGGGACCAGGCAGCTAAACCAGAAGACAATATGGCACCCCTATTATCT